CCATAAAACCCCATGGAGCTCAGAGAGGAAGCTATGCTTGGGTGTCAGTATTATTGCGTAGGAGCAACCTAGGAATTCCTCACAAGATAAATGAATTAAAACTGCAAAATGCCATCACGGGGCCAGCATTGTTAATATTTTCCATTTCTGTTTGTACTCTAGAGCAGTTTGATTCTGAAGAGTAAATGGCATGCTGACGAAAGCAATTACATGATCTGGGCTGCACTGCACATGACCGCCTTTAAGTTTCCAATTTGTGAAACTGTATTAAGCAATAAAATGCTTTCAAGTAGCTAAGACGTCTGAGTTCATACATCTTGTTTTGTGTTTAGCGAGCCAGGCTGGCGGGGAAATGCTGTAGCCCCGTGAATTCTGGTTTGAAAAACTACTACAAATACATCAGCATAATCGAACTTGTACAACATGAGGAAACAACAGAAACCAAAATGAATTACTAGCTTATGTCACATAACAATTTTGATAATGGGCCTGCACTTGTTAAACAAGTGTAAGCAGAGATAATCCAACAGAACCATAAGAAATGGACAGCGGGACCCTCTTCAGCAGCCTGGGGTCTGTGCCCCAGGATGACACCCCCTCTCAGGCTTGCACTCCCTTCTCTACAGTATGACTAAGACTCCAAGACAACTGTGTGAGGGCTGTGCCAACCATGAAGCAGGCAGCACTTTACTGTTGGATTTTTTTGTGCGTGTTTTTTTTTATTTTGAATTTTTGAATTATGTGGTATAATTTCATATAGACTGGGATTCCCCACCCCCAAACTCCCACCCTCCAACAGATTTTACCCATTTAACTACAATGGTATAGTCCTTCATAAGGAATCACAATTCCATCAGTCTCTTATTTAACTGTAACCTGTCATTGCTGGTACAGACAATGTCAAACAGTCCAGCATCCCATTGTCTATACACTTCCAACAGTTTCATTGGGAATCCATTTCGTCTAGAAGCAAGAATGAAAGTTGCATTATACCCCACATCTAGATATGGTGGAACCCAGTATTCCATCACTATATACATTTCCATAATTAAGAAGCTGTGAAGCAAAGTCAGCAATTGGTATGAGTTAGAACAACCACAACAACAACAACAACAATGACAACAACAAATTGCAGCACCATGATAAAAACGCAGCACTGAGTAACCAACACATGGGTGACAAAAAGGAAACACAAAAGTCTCTTGGGAAAAATGGTGCCACCATGTAATCCATGAGACTAGCCTACATTTAGAACTCAACTAACGACACCTGCTGGCATGGATGTGCAGCAAAAGGCACCCTTCCTCACTGCTGCTGGGAGTGTAGGCTAGTACAACTACTGTGGAAATCAGTATGGAGAGTGCTTGGAGAATTGCAAATAAACCTGCCATATGACCCAGCTATCCCACTCTCAGGAATATACCCAATAGAAGTAAAATCTGCATGTGAGAAGGGGATCTGTAATCCTATACTTGCAGCAGCACAATCTACAATAGCAAAGACATGGAAACAATCCAGATGTGCATCCAAAGAAGAGCTGTTAAAGAAACTGTGGTGCATCTACTCCATGGGATATTATTCAGCTATTAAGAAGAATGAAATCACTCTATTTACAACCAGGTGGTCCCAACTAGAGACCATTATGCTCAGTGAAATGAGTCAATCACGAAAGAACAAAAACTGTATGTGCTCTCTTATATAAGGAAACCAGCATGGAAAGTGTAATTTCAATAACCTGATCCATACTGTTTTTGTTTATTTGTTTGTTCGTTGGTTTTGCTGCATGCCATATGTTTTAATGTTTTTCATTTCAGTTTTATTTATTCCAAATACTTTCTTTTCCCATGCTGAATTCATTGTTATTTATTTTATTCGTAGTAGTAACTTTGCTGCTGTTGGTTGTTACTACACAAAATGAGATCGGAAAATACTAAAGGATGGCAACCAGGAGGCTAGTCCTAGTATCGGGGCAAAGGATGTTGGGTTGCTAGTATTGCTAAAGTTGCTAGAAATACGTCAGCTGTATCTGAAGCAATTTTCTTTTGAAAAATGAGATCCATACTCTAAGTTTGGAATAGGATAGTAGGCACTTATGTAGAGTAGAAAAATCACTGGGTTTGGAAAAACAAAGACCAGATTCTATGCTACTCCTGGCACATATTTCCACATATCTAGTTGCAAGGTCATTTAATTTTTTTTGCAGCTTGGTTTCTTGGAATAACGGACTACCTTATTTTCTACAATCAAAGTAAAATATAATGAGTTTCAAGTATTTTGAAAAGCAGACACCTGCTATAGAAAAACAAGATTGAATTAGCTTGCTATAACGTGATTGCATCTGCGAGGGCATGAGGGCAAGAAGGATAGTGCTGGAAGCGCAGGCAACAGTATGTAGAGTGTAGATTCCTTCACTGGATGTAGGCAGTGAGGTTGAGTGGGGAACAATCAGCCCACACTTTAAAAGGAAAGACCTACGTACAGCTAGGGTAGAAGTGTCTGACTTACAACCGGAAGCCAGTTCTTCCCAGTCCTGGATTAGTGTCCCTTTCTCTGGTTCAGCAAGAAGAGTTAGTTTGAAAGGCACTGACAGGGTCAGCTACAGGAAAAACAGCAGAAAAGTTATTATGATCTGAGGAGGGAGGCAGATGAGAGCAGGACAACAAACAGACTTACTGTGGAATTCTACCCAGGCTTCCAAGGCCCTCAAACTTACAGTAACATGAATGTGTGATTTGTTAAAATTTCAGCAGGCATACTCTGTTGTGACACACAATGTGGTCAATAAAAATTAAAGAATTCTTCATGGAGCCCAGTGTGGTAGCCTAGCAGCTAAAATCCTCGCCTTGAATGTGCCGGAATTCCATACTGGGTGCCAGTTCGTGTCCCGGCAGCCCCACTTCCCATCCAGCTCTCTGCTTGTGGCCTGGGAAAGCAGTCGAGCATGGCCCAAAGCACCCATAGGATCCTGCACCCACATGGGAGACCTGGAGGAAGTTCCTGGCTCCTGGTTTTGGTTTGATGCAACTCCGACCATTGTGGCTACTTGGGGAATAAGTCAGCAGATGAAAGACCTTCCTCTCTCTCTCATCTCGGTATATCTGACTTTCCAATAAAAAAAGAAATCTTTAAAAAAATTAGTCATAACATTTGGTATGCTGACTTCAAAAACCTTGTATTATTCCAAGCATGGGAAATAAAACTTTAATTCTTCAATAAAGAAAAGCCCAGTCATTAACAACGCTGCTTGGGAAAAAAGAATTTTACACAAGCTTATATGGCACTTTAAAATAATAAAATAAAAAACTCTCCCTAGATTCTCTTTCAAGAACAACAGAAGGACTTCTGATATTTTCTCAAAGAGTGCTCTCGTTTATGAACTTATTAAGGCAAGCTACTTCTCTTTCCACATTTAAGGGAAAATCTGTTGTTTCTCTAAGTGATTCTCCGAAAGCCTGGAAAGCCCTGACTCTGACAGGTGTCTGCCCCATCCTTCCCCTTGTTCACTGTGAAAACCATCGACCTACCAGAGTCAGGCTGTTCTCAAGTAGAAAATTCCGGTTGTGACTAATGAGATTTTGAGAGAGTTCTAGTATTTCGTTGGGACTTAAGGCCACTAGATTCATGCATGCATGTGGCCCAGATAAGAGAGAGGAACATTAATGTTATTGTCTAGAATACAGCATGCCTTTTGATGTTAGCTTAAGAAATGCAGCCAAGAAATGAGTGGAGATTGAGTACATTGCTCCCATGTCCATACAGTGCAAGGAGCCACAGTTAGGTTTCCAGGGGACATCACATTTGTGGATTTCACACTAGTTGTCCTTCTTGGACCCTGGCCCTTGGGACCCAGGGACAGATGGCTGAAGTGTTGCAGGGATCTAATATCACAAAAGTGGCAAGCATATCTGGAATTCATATAGTCTCAAGCCTAATAATTTAAAGCAATATCCCAGAGTGTAAATAGGTACACACATATCCACAAGAGGTGAAGTTCAATGGCAGGCCTACAATACAGCAAACAGCATTTTGGGGCTACATGTTTACAGGACATGTTTGAAATTCAAAGGTATTTACATGGGGAGAGGGCACAGCACAAAGCTGGGGTAACTTTGTTTCGTGAGGAAAGAGGCACACAGGTTGTTTTCTTTCCCAGATAAGTAATCTGCATGGTTTTTATATTGCTATCCTGGTCATCATTTATCATAGTAATAAGCATGAATATGTGGCACATTTTATGAGAGCAAGGGCAACAATTACTGTTCTCTTTAGAGATGGAAGGGGAAGGGAGATTCAGAAAGATGGAGTCACCTATGCAAAGACACAGAAGTGACATATTCTTACACCCAAGAGGGACTCAGTCCTATAATTCGTACTAAGGAGATACCATATTGCCCTATGGTGCCAACAGCCTGAGTAATAGAAAAGTACGTGTTTTTTGTTTGATTTTAGTTTTTCCTTTAGAATTGCTATTAGTGCTGGCAATAACCACCTTTTTATTTTTCAATTTTTGTTCTGCCTCCAGGCCATTCTCATGTATCAATGTACTTCCATAAGTACTATTTTCCACAACATAAGATCATTTCCAAATATCTCTCCCACTCCTCTCACCCTTCCATATGTCATCCTATTACTGCAGACCATGAGCTCCACTGTCATGGTATATCGACAGCACAGTGGCAGGTAACAATGAAGTTAAAACCCCAGAAAGCAAAAAAGTAAAAATTTCTGGGTTGGTGCTTGAATAAAGTTTCTTAAAGCAGGTGATGAGCCTCATCCAAGATTCCAAGGAAGCTGGAGAAGAATGCAAGGACTGGACGGAGGCTTTGTGATATTAGATGATGGACAGAGGACAGGCCAAAGATAAGGCAGGTGATAGAAGAGTCTTGAAATCAAGACCAAGTATCTCCTATCACGATGCTCGTTAAGCAGGAGTGTCACCAGCTTCAGCCGACGGATTGCTTCAGTGTTAGAAGGCACAGAAATGAAAATTTGAGACTCACCCGTAATATTTCCTCAACACAGCTTGGATCACTGGGAATGTTTACCTAAAACAAAATAAACAGCAAAAATTAAACATAATGTAGTTCTTCTCAGAGAAGCCTACTGTATCACAGATTATACCGCATGATACATTGTAAATAAGGTCATCTAGCTGTCAACATGTTTTACCTGTTAAATAAAAATGCGTATCTGTGAATGGCCAATTTGGCTTTACTTTATTGAAGTAGTACGAGTGTGGAGCAGGGAGCAGAAAGAAAATGATTCCTTATTCTGCCTCCATCGTCCTTGGAGGTTCATGACCCTCTCCTCCAGGGTCCCCATCGTCTGTGAGAGCAAGAAGCTAAGTGCCAATGTAAGACACCAGCTAAGAAACTGCATGCTGAGGGACTTGGGCTAAGTCCTCTATGGGAGTACTGTTGTGGAATCCCTATGTTTCGGGTCTGCCAGAGCTAGTGGTTATTCTCTGATACATTGCAGTATGAGCACTACACAGCGGAGTTCATCAGCAAAACTCCAACTCACATGAAAGTACTTTACACGCATTCTTTCACAAGTATTTATGGAATATGTTCTACATGTAAGGGTGTCTCCTCCAAGGAACATTAAATCCCATGCGTGGGAGGCAGGATAAAACAGTGATTAATAAGCAGGAGCGATGCATTCTGGCTTAGTTATCAAAGTTCCAGTTGACACATGTTTAGGCATACTTATTGATAGTGTATCCTTTCATAGAAAAAATTCCCATTTTCAATGATAATTACCCTCCCCATAGCCAGGTAGATGAAACAATGAAACAATCAAACAAGCAAACAAAACAAAACACTCTGCCGGCAAGCTGGAAACACACTGTAAAGAACCTTAACCATGGGTTTCTAACGTGGAACCGTGGCTGATTTGGCTTGACACAGCTCATTCATTCATTCACTTTTGAGGTCCACTGATTGCTCCACAATGCCAGTGCTAAGCAGAGATACAATGACACAGACGAAAACAATCACATAATTATTGCACAGCTGTAACTGTCAGTGCTACAAATGAGATCATCTAGGGGAAACCAGTTTTGCAAAATCAAAGGTTCTGTGTCCAACTAATGTGGGAAATGCGGCAGTGCAAATCTGGTTCTCGGAGATCCGTGATGCAAGTCAAGGTCTAATTAAGAAAATCCAATGATCAACATTGCTATTCCATAGAAACAATCTACATAATATATACTAGGGGATACTACTCTAACATATTCCAGGATGATAGAACTCTGCTGCTAATTATTAACGGCAAATATAATGTCATCCTAGAGTTCAATGCTCCAGCAACTGCATTGTTGAAGACAATTTTAAAACTTCTAATAAATATCTTCCCAAAACACAAAGTTTAAAAGGATTCTAACTTAAATCTTCAACATGATTGTTGTGTTGTATCAGTGTGGCCTGCCTGGCTAAAATGAAATGTATGGCCCAGTACTGTGAAAAGGTCTTTTCTCCTTTATTCCTACAAGCTCATCAAATGTTGATTTTTATATTCAAGAGGGAAAATATATCAGCCATATGCAGATGCTGCAGCAGCATTTGTCTAGGAGTCAAAAACAGCTGGATGAGAGTTCTGGCACTACAAACTGAGACCAGAACTTTTTTCAGATGAGTTCCAGTTTTCCCAATTGTCAAATAAGATAAAATAAAATCAGAATAAAAATAAAATAACACCTCTTCACTTCAGATCTCAGAGGATTTCTAGGAGTATCACACACTGTCACTTTATTTCCCCTTGTCCCTTTGTTTTCATTACTTCCTATTATTAAAAGTCCAATCTTGTCTTTTCAAGCTAAGATTTGAGTCACTCTTGCCAACTGCAAATATCATATCTACACCTGGAATTACAAATGTCCATTTCCAGATGGGAATAATGCTGTCAAAATATAGAGTTATGTGCCCGGGGGCTTTGCAGAAAATGTAATAATGCGTATCAGAGATGCTAGCACTTCAGATTGGAAAGCATTCTACAGATAACAGTAGTCAAGTCAATATGCACCCACATCCAGTTTTCCCATAGTTTTCTTTTGTAAAATATACCAAATTCCACCATTTGGTTGGAAAAGCTCAGCAAACGCAGCTCCCCAAGTCCCATAGCTGTTTTCTTCACAACACAACTCCTCAGGAATGAGAGTGCCTTTTCTTCCCCTGAAAATGCTTTTAAACTAGCCAGCAATTATTTCCCATGTGCCTAGATGGGTGTTGGGCATGGGGAGATTGGTAAGAAAAATAACTGCCAGATTTAGCTCCTTTCTCTCAGAGTTAAATGTCTAGTTGGAACATGAAAACAAACAATTAGAGACCCAGTGGGACACACATTGTAAGGTAGTCTTGACAAGGGTAATAGGATCTTACTCATTCCCCCAGTCTGCCTATTCATCAGTTCTCCATTTATTTCTTTGGACAACAAATCCTGATTGAACTCACACTGTGCTCAGGATGGTGCCAAGGGGGAGGATTTAAAGACACTGAAGGCAGCAAAATTCCTGCCTTCAACTGTCCATGCAAACGATGCAGGGTTGAGGTGGGGGGGGGCTACCAGGGTCAAGGTCAGAACTATTTCATGCAGAAGCTCCCTGCAGCTGAGGTTCTCCACAAGGGAGTGAGAGGCCAAGGATTTGAAATGGCTGACAAGTGGAGAGACCACCTGAGGTCCCTTCATGTCTGAACCCCTGCGGCATGGCACCAAGGGTCAATGTGCACTGGAAGCAAGCTAAATTCTGGCTGGGGCTCAGCCTGCAGGATGACCTTTCGCACTCCTTGCCTCTCAAAGCCCCTGCGCTCATATTCTGGAGAAGCCACTTGCACAGGTGTAAAAGAAAAAGACTGAGGTCACAAAGTACTGGCAGCCGTGGGATTAGAACCACTGCCTGTCAAGTTGCCCAGCTGCTGAATTCACAAGCCACTCTCCTCTCTCTAAATCTACTCTTGAGTATTCAGACAGTCCACAAAGCACAAGTAAGCCACTCAGAGCTGCAGAGGCCTTTCACATGCCCCCTCTCTACCCGCTCCTCCTGGAGCAGAAAGCAAGCAGCCTGATGTACAGGAGGGGCCCTGCTCCTGCCTCCAGCCTCAGATTCCGCCCCTGCGCTGGGCAAGGCTGTGATTCTTCATGGGCCAGAAGCACGAGGCATACACCAGATACCCAGGGAACTGACTGTGAGCTCTCATAAGTGCCAACTTTCTCAGTATCTGATGGTACAGGCTGCCACTGCACTCCAAGTATTCACAGAGAGACCACACACAGATCATCTATTTACCTGTTGATAGTCATACATGTTATGATACCTTTATCATATGTTATGATACCTTTAAACCATCAAATATGAAATTAACTGCAGCAACAATAAAAAACTTGCATAGAATGCTATAATCATTCTGAAGTTAGTCAATTTGGAGCATACTTCTTGGCAATTAGAGTAATGCATGATATCAAAAACACCTAGAGTGAGAAATTGAGACATAAGTAGCAGCTGGCACTAGTTTTTGTACCAGTGGGAATTAAAGTGCTGAAGCAATACTGATCATCATATGATTCACCCAGAACAATTCAATGCCTGCCTCTGAGTACATGTAACTAAGAGATTGTGAGGGCAACAGATATTCTGAAAATCTAAACTCATCTTGAGATTGTTTCATCAAACCTGACCATCAAAGCCCTGTGTCCTATGTGTGCTTCCTCTGGACCAGAACTTCTCAAAGCTAAAAATTGCAAGTTTAATTTCAAATCGAATAACTGGGTCCAGTTAAACAATATCCACAAACTGATTCCAAATGGCAGCCTCCAAGCTAATTCCACTTTTATTTTCATTAACAAACGGCCACATTTATCCTCATGATTGATTTATGGGACATGGAAAATTTCTAAAATGGTATTACTAATAATATGAAAACTCAGGCTGTGATACTGAATTAACAAATCAACTTTCAGTCATTTATGCATGTTAATCTCTGCCGTTGGTCATTTGTTAAAACATAAGACCACTGCCTCTGAATTCCTTACCTGCTTGCCCCTTGACATGCCTTTATCTCACTGTCCAGGATGTGGAAAACTCCAAACTCAGCTCACAGCTGAGCTCTCTGTGTTTTGTGTCATCCCTATTCTATCTTGTATTCAAGACTTTGTGATTAAGTTTCCAATAGTTAATACTATGTAAGCTGTAGACAGAAGTTCTCAGGTAATACAGCTATAATCAACAACAAAAAATATTTTCGCAACAGTTATATGGTACAGCCAACCATCTGATATTCTAATTTCATTTTAATGCAACCAAATCCTGGGTGTCCAAAGTGTCTCTTTTCTTAAAGGCTGTTTATCTCTGATTTTTAAAGAATTCATAAGCTTAAAAGTATGCTACATAAAACAAGCTATCACATGCCATATTAACACATGCCATTTTAAACCAAGAGTGGAAAATGATCATTTGTTTAGAGTCATAAATTAATATAAAACTGAAAAACAAAGGATAACAACTAATTGTTACTTATTTTTAAAGCATAAGATAAATTGCTATCTTTTCTGGGGGATTCAAAAGGTAGTGAAAGCAATATGACCTTCAAAGCTCAATGTGAATTTAAATTGAAGTCTAAAGCATAATTTCTTTTGCGGCATTTGGATGAGCCACTTGAATTTCTTTGGGCCATTATTTCCTTATGAAAGTAAGAGGGATTTAAATTATGTACTTGTAGGGTTTGGGGGGTTGGCAGGAAGTGAATTTTCTGAGAGTACCTGAGCTGAGCAGTGGGCACGTGTTACCTCTCCATTTGCAGTTTTCTATCCTAATCCTTCTCAAAGCCCTGAGAGAGGCATCCAGGCTCGGATCCTTGAACTACTAAGGAGAAAGTTTGGTTGCCTTGTTGACTAACTCACATGACATCTTATGAACATGGCTAATTTTTATACCTTAGGTAGGAGGCCAGTGTGCAGTCTCAGTCTGTCACTCCACCTGATGGCTCTCACTTAAAGGTAGCGAAGGAGGCTGGGGATGAGGCATGATGGGGTATGACAATAGAGAGAATGA